TGTGGAAATGTTACACCTTACCCCTCTCCACTCGCTGACAGAAACCATATGGATTTTTCACTGGTTCATCTTTCACCATATTATACTTTATCAGATCATACTTGAACAGGAGCTACATAAGAAAATAAGATAAATATAAGTTAAATATAAGATATTTTTCACAGCAGATATTTTGACACTAACCACAAAGCAGAGTAGCCTTTATTAAAGGAGCTATATGTAAGAAATCTAAAGCAAATAGTCGTAAAATCCTCCTAATATGTCACAGAGACTAAGGATTAATGTTAATATAACATACTGATCTCACCGACAACAATAGTAAAGCCAGAATATTCACATTTAAAAATATTTTTTACGGTCTGCAAATCATGTTTATATTTTGAATTTGTGTTTTGGCCTGTTGCACCACCCACCGCCGTCTACCAGTCACGCAGTCAGTGGAGTCTCAGCATCAGTTACAGTTACGACTGAGCTACAATGGCTGACAGTGCGACTAAACCCAAACAACCTTGTTATGATTCCCAAAAACGCCAAGACAAAACTCGAGGGTCAATATAGGAGATGCTTTTGAACGGTGGAGACCGTTGAAAGCGGAGAAGAATTTGAAATCGGATGTCGAAGTGGCTACTCTTCTCCTTGACAGGTAAGCTTTAGCCAAAGTTGGCTAACTAGCATCATAGCTAGACGGGGATGGACATTTCGAATACTTTCAACTGTTATTTTCGATCATACGTTGTAGCCCATGTGCAGGTGGGTAATCGACCCGACTGATTTTTTTGAGAAACAAACGTTAGCAGCACAGCAAGCAGCATTAGCAGTGTCCCAGTACATAGCATTAGCAGCTGGCTCCTCCTCAGCTGTATCCCTGCAGCAGCATTAGCAGCAGAGAAGCCGGACTTGCTCGAATTGTCTGCTGGAAAACCGAAGATCAAGGACGTGGCGACGCGGCCCTGCCACGGCAGCCACCCGTGGGCAAACAAATCATGCCCATTTTCCACCAGATGCGTGTTGGTTGTGTCTGCACTCCGGCACGGCAGCGGAGCCGATAGGATTCAGTTCTAGTCGATGTGTGTGTTTCCACCGGCTGCGGCTGTGCTGCTTTCCGGCTCCGTCTCAGCTGCGGCACTCCGAAGCCCTCCTCAACAGATACGCAGGACTTCTATTTTTGCTGGACGCGGGAGCACAACGCAGCAATTCAGCACAGAGCAGCAACCTCAAATCTGTAGGGGAGGGGGGGCGGACATTTTGAATTTCAGTGCAATAACCGTTTTGGCCACATTCTTTCATACAGCGCCTTTAAAATGATCGATTACAGCTGTGCCTTTACTGCTATAGCATGTCAAAATGACTGCTGTGAAAAATATCTGAGCAATTGTAACACTCTTGAAACTAGAATTACCACCCCTGCACCAATCAAGTTTCCATGTCTGTGAAGACATGGATGCTTCAAACACATCTTCCCCCCGATAGCTCAGAAGATCTATACAATCAGCACAGTTTCAAGGTGGACCCTCTTCAATTTGAGTGAAGAAACAGGAGCCAATAGACTCTGAAGACTGGAGCAGGATGTTTCACAGTGGTAAGCATTTATTTCGTAGCTGTCTTATATTTCAGCTGTTACATGATAACTGTAACTTATCTGACATTATGATTACAATTGTATGTCCTCTGACTGAAGTTGAAAATGTCTGCTACAGAGTACAAAAGGTTTCTTACAACATTATGTGGAAACACCAACACTAGCACTCACCTGTCATATGCAGTGGTGAAAAGCACAACTCCTTTTTTTTTTTAAATCTAAGCAGACTCATCTAAGATCAAACTAATGTAGCTTGCGTTGGCCAATAATACCAGTTATTATAAATTTGGCCAAAAGTTATTATGAATTTGGCTACTACCACACAAGCTTTAAGTCATGAATTCAGCAATTTTACCACAGCAGATTGAGATGACAGATTTCTGTATTATACAGAAACAAATGGATGAAAATTACAAGTATATTCAGATGTCTTAACTGTCATGTTTACTGTAACCATTCAACTAAAATGTAGCTGCATTTTATAATCATCTTCACCTTATGTTTGTGATCTACAATATGTACATTGTACCAATTTATCAGTTTCTCCACATCATTTATATGAAATCAAAGTTTCATAGTAAACCCACATGTTGCTTTCTGGATCAGTATTTGTTCTATGCAGTGATGTTGTCTCCTGAGTCTTTATTTGCTTACTGCAAAACAGTATGTCTTGTCTCTTTTTTACTTATTAGGTTTTGGGGTAATGAACCAGGTTCCAGTTCATTCTACATGTTTGATACACCATCCAGGCCTAGAGCCTAACTGCTCCAATCCTTACACCCTGCAGAACATCCACAACATGTACAGGTCTGACTATGGACCCTTAAGACATAGAACTGAAGAAAAGTAAATTTTTATGACATATAAAGAGATACAACTGCGTAAACTCCATTCTGAACATTATGGTTTCATTATACCAAAAAACCCACTGATAAAGAAATGACAAAAAAGTATTTTGTCAAAATTCCTTTATTTTTAGCACATGTAAACAATGAAAACTACAAAAAACTCTGTAAATAACATACGATAGATAAATGCAAAAATATAAACACAGCAGCATTTTATCTGCAACACTAAACCAAAAGCTGCCAGAGCTGCAAAACGGCTGAATTCACTCTAGCAGCACCGCTGGTAAAATATTTGTGGCAGCGAAAGCAGCTCAAGTTGCTCATGACGTCAAATTCTGAACATTCGATTATGCTTCTCAATTTAAAGAAGCCACAAAGCAAGTTACTGGCTGGAGCACAGAAATGTGACTTTGTGCATTTGCCTGAGAACAGAAACTTTCTCTTTGGACAATGAAAACAGAATAAAAAGTCTAAATAGGTCTGACATTAAACATTAAACACACATAGCCTGTGTTGTGTTCAGACGTTGTCACTTAAATAACAAATTCCAGTACTTGAATAGGCTGTAGCACAACACAGCAGCATGTCAAGTGGGCTGAACCCGTACCGAATATGAGCAAAGGTTTTTGATTTGTTATTCCCGCCCAAAGCTGTAAACCTAGGGGAAACACTGTCATTGGTTTGCGTTCAAGTGCCTACAGTGCGATTAGTTAAACTGGTGGTAAGGAGAGCAAATGAATTGCATTCCTACTAATAACATGCGTTCCAGAACACAAAGAAATTGTGTAAGTAAGTGCACTTGTCCACACCTGTGTATCGATTCAGCATGGAAGAAGACACTGCTGCTGTGTAGTACCTGCGTGGATGTAGCCGCCGTCGGCTCTGGGTTCATGATATCCTCCGGGGCTGTGAACAGCACGGGGAATATCATCGGCTGGTGCGGGAGCTGCAGCTGGATGGGGAGAGGTTCCAGCGCTACTTCAGGCTGAACATCGATCAGTTTGACAGCTTACTGCTTGTTTTGAAGTAGGAACGAATGTGTGGTAGGAACTAAAAGTTTCCAAGGATGCTCTCTGGGTTCCACACAAGTGATGGACATCTACATTCCGATTGGTTGCTGGTCATTTGCAGTTCAAACGTGTCATAGCTAATTTGCATAAAGTTAACCAGTCTTCACCTTTCTTTTGCAGCTCAAAACGCCTCTAGTCGCCATATGTCCATTGAAAATTAATTAGACCTGTCGCCTTTGCAGCTCTGGCAGCTTTTGGTGTGAACTAACAGTAATAGTGTTCAGTTCTTTCCATTCAGGTGTCTAACCCGTCCTGTAGTCAGGATATGCCAGGAGTTTCCTGTTCTGGCTGGTCACTGCGTTGGCCTCAAGCTGCCGCCTTCGCTTAAGTCAGAGGCGTGTAAGGCAACCACTTCCTCCTTTTAGGGTCTCTCATACTGGGATGCTAGGTCCTTTGGGATGGGGATTTTATGCATCTATTCAGCAAATGGCACTGGATTCTCAAACACCTCCACAAAGACGAGCCTGATCAGGTCATCTACAGTCTGTAAAATATTGCATTTAAATTAAGTGCTTCCCTGAATCCACCTTTCTTGTATATATTTCAAGTGTTGCCATAACTCTTTATTTTTTATCTGATGTTATTGTGTTGGTAATTAAAATACAAATTATGTACAAATTACTGTATGTAGGGTCTGCTTGTATAGCCTTTACTGAGGGTAAAACAAAAGTAAAATAATACATTTTTGCTTTACTTTTCCAACATTTTTATAAAAACTCTGCTAATAGCTCATAGGAACATATACAAAAAGATGACACATATGAAATCTCAGATTCCTCTGTAATAACAGCATGGCCAGGGTTACAGAGTCATGAGGGTCAGCTAGCTGTTTAAGTTTCTCCCTCTTTCTCCTCCTACTCCATGAGGTTGCATACTTGGTTTGAACCTATGCCCTTTATAGGTGTTAATGACAGCTGAAAGTCCAAATGAAAGAAAATATGTGTGTGTGTGTGTGTGTGTGTGTGTGTGTGTACATATATATATATATGTATTAATTTGTTTCTGCTAACATCATAACAAAGTCAAAGGCATGAGATAATGTGAGGCAGAAATATACAGTCAGGTCCATAATTGTTTGGACAATGATACAGTTGTTGTCATTTTGGCTCTGTACACCACCACAATGGGTTTTAAATGAAACAATGAATACCTGCTTAAAGTGCAGACTCTCAGCTTTCATTTAAGGCTTTTTTCAAAAATGTAGTATGAACCGTGTAGGAATTACAACCATTTCTTCACACAGTCCCCCGACTTTAAGGGCTCATAAGTATTTGGACAAACTAACATAATCATCAATTAAACAGTCAGTTTTAATACTTGGTTGCAAATCCTTTACAGTCAATGACTGCCTGAAGTGTTGGACACATAGGCATCATCAGATGCTGGGTTTCTTCCCTGGTGATGCTCTGCCAGCCCTTTACTGCAGCCGTCTGCACTTCCTGCTTGTGTTTTGGGTGTTTTGCCCTCAGTTTTGGCTTCAGCAAGAGAAACGCATGCTCAGTTGGATTCAGGTCAGATGATATGACTTGGCCATTGCAGAACATTCCACTTCTTTGCCTTAAAAATGTCTTTGGTTGCTTTTGCAGTATGCTTCAGGTCAATGTCCATCTGCACT